TCAGCTATCCGAAGTGATTATTTGAAGCAGTCTCAACATCAACCTTACGAGGCGACACACCAATCATGCGTCGCGATTCCATGTGTTCATGACTTGCGTGGAATTTTTTCCGTGCATGTCACGATGCTTGATAGATTGAGCAGTAATTAACCTTAAATCCGGTAAGTACTCGTTAACTAGCGACCCTACAGCATATGCATTGGAGGCGATTCTACCAGAAGCCGAAGCGTTACAAGCACCAGCGTAACTTCGGCGATGCAGGAGAACGCCAAGCAACACGAGGTGTCAACAAATGAGGGAGATGCGGACTACTACAACACAATCACGCGCTCTACCAACCGTACATCGGAGGCACGGATGAGCATACCAGGATTTGCTACCCGTGGATACATTGAGGGGAGAAGCTAATTTCTCTTCATACCCTCAAATGAAACAATCACCGGCAGCAATGGAGCAACACATGTGTACTAATGTGCACGTGTTCCTAGTAGTTACGCCTGTTACACCCATCAGGAACACTCTACAATGAAGAGGGAGTTGATGGATTCTCCTTCAACCAGTATGAGTTGAGAGAATTCTCTGCAGCAGCTGCCGCTGTCGCCATCGTCGCTACCGCCGCCGCCGCCGCCGTAGCAGAAGACTCGACACAACAGTCATATCCAAACCCTGATGGATAATTCTCCGCTCAATGGAGATAACGCTGGATCATATTCCAGTATGATCATAAAGTCCCGGCCAGGCACAATACTATTATTTCCAGCTAGTGGGAAGGAGATACCACTATGCGAGTGAACAACATGGCAATGCCATATACCCTAAAGAGCAGAAGATATTTGTTCTTACGAGGATGGGATGACTATGGTACTCTACCGGTATTCAAGTCCTCATGGCCTATGGCTTTTCCTAAAGTCATAAAACCTGCGTCGCAACCAATCCATCACCAGCACCAACTCCACGGAAGCAGATAGGCGTGAAATGCAGCACCGACACCATTACGGATAGTGGAATCCGCGTATCTCCAACAACACCCCTGTTTGCCGAAATGGAGCAGACTTCAACATCGATGCTGAGTAGCTGAGACTTATTCGACATCAATTCTACTTCAAGGACAGTAACAAAATGAGACAACACATGATGGCACCAGAAGACCTATCCCAATATGTGCGCCCAGACACCGATGCCTACCGATGGCCTCCGTGCTAAACTGGAAGTGCATAAGGTCATACTTGATTGGCTGTCACCAATGCCCATTTGGAAATGGGAAAGGATTATTTGGGAATACCCCTAATAGTCCCAATTGTCCAAACCCATGACTGTGGGATACTTACGCAGCAGAGATTCCTTGCTTGAGCAACCACCGAGGGAAACTACTTTGGCGCCGATTCTGGAAGTTACCTGCTCCGCGTTTGTGGTACCAACCCCTCGCATGGTTCTAAATTCAAGGGATACACTGAGCAGCACTACAATACTGAGAGGGTACGACTCACGACAACACTACGGCATGGATCAGCATTCGACAGAAGCTGCATGTATCGGATACAACGCTGCTAAAGAAGCAGGACTATGACACGACTGCAACACCACCAACACTTAGTCATCTTCAGTAGTGGACGGGATGCGAGTAACACCAGGATGTGCTACCCGAGACTCAACGCATGCTACAGTGTGCCAGCAAGAGCACCTACCGAAAGGGCAGTACATCTCATCTTCCGCTACAACATCTCGATCACGATCAAAGCCATCCACGTACCACCTACAGACGCAACCCGCTCACACCACAACAACCGACAAATCCATTTCATCACCGTTGTCCATCAGCTCTAACACCGGACACGCCACTTGGACATCCAACAGCAGCAGAAGCACCTGGCTACTCATCACCACAGTTATCCACATTATAATATCGACATCAGCCATCTTCCATCCAAGCTTCAACCATGCTTTTGCAGACCTATTCTTGTTGACGCAAAGGTCACTTCAGTCACCTTCCGCTTCCGCCTACCAGCCACTTGGAAGATCCATAACGCCTTCCATACCAGCTTCTTGAACCCTATCAAGACCAAACACGCTCTACACCGAATGCCAACCACCGTCGCCGCCCGTGTTCGTCCACGCCATAGGACAACTACGTGTTCTGACACTTTCATCGTCAGAATGGCATTCTGGAGCTTCTTCTTTGCTGGAAGGGTTATGATACTTCTGAGGCTGCGTCTCTGAATTCGGCATGGGTAACGCCCGTCGTCCTCTTCGCGACTACCTTGTCAAGCAGGGTGTTACTTCTACCACCCAGCTTTGAGGGGGGGAAGTGTGAGAGTACGACCCCGTTACACCAATTTCCCCTTTCCATATTTCACTTCTTTTTCATCCCTCTTTTTATCCTGATTCATTTGGTCTTTATCTCATCTCATTTGGTTTCCTATTTCTCACTTTCCATTATCATTTGGTTTATCCTGTTATTATTATTATATCACCGATCAGGCTCGGGATGTACTGGCGCGCCATATCTAGCGTAATCCTACCGTAATCCCTTAAAGCCAATAGCCTTGCATGGCTATACGCAAGGTGATTCTATTTCTAGAAGGGTCTGTTCCCTTTGGATAGGATAAACCTGGTTACCTGATGTACTCTGGAAGTATAAAAGCACCTTGTACTGATTGATAGTGGAACATGGAGCTAAACCTCATTCGATCATGTGACATCGCCACGGCGAGCCTTGTCCACCGCGAGAGCCGGTGTTGCGTATTTTTTGGGAAGGCATTCAATCACGTTGCACAAGCCCTCGAACTTGTCGCTACAGTTGGGATTGAAGTCCAGGATCTCATTGCGCCGCGTCAAGAATTGATACTCGCACATGATGTCTTCGTTCCGGCCCATACTCCCAGTAGGCTTGTCCTTTATCGAACGCCATGCGCCACGTGGGAGTTGACGTGTCCAATTTGCCGATTGCACAGGGAGCTCCTAATAAGAGGAGCAACACATTGTGCGGTTTCACGAGAGAGTCGGGTTCACATCTGCGTCGATTTTGAACAAGTGTGCCCATTTCCCAAAAATACTTGATATTGGCAAACTCTTAGGAATGCCGGCCCGTGCTACCTGGCTGTCCAACTTAGCCACGTTACAATGATCATCCACGTACATAGTAGACACAATTGTCCGTATCTACCACTATACATTAAGCCTCAATGCTTAATGGTGGTACGATTTGGGAGGGGCACATAGTGGAGGTGTTCACAGCACAAAAATCCAGAATAGTACATTGGATCTAACTCATACCCCAAAAGATATGCAAAGAGTACATCCGGACAAATAGTTCCAAGCTCAGAGAGCAAATTTCAGAACGACGTTTCTGGTACCAAGCCCACCGACCTTTGACCTTGATCACCACCCGCACCCACCTAGGCATGTTACCTACGAGGTTAGTACAAACCTCGACAGAGATCTTCTCGCACTCTTCCTGGACCCAACAATTTGCATAAGGGGGTGAGCACTAGGAAAATCGCGAAGGAATTGGGCGTAGGCAAGAGTATTGTGGACGATTTCGGATTGAATGGTATCTCTAAGACTAGCCATGCTGAGGTGTGGCGAAAGATGCCATTAGCCGGTTGGCCCTGCCTTATCATGGAGCGCCTTCGTCGTACCGTTGTAGGGTAAAATCACGAATAGAGCAGCCAAAACTAGAATAGACACTGCGAAACTGCGGGTAACGTAGTATGGTCGACTGCGCACCCTTGTGCCATTAAGATCACACTAGGATCTGCAGGTCTTGTCGCGGTGTAGCAGAGAGGTAGAAGCCACGACCGTTCTGGAAGAATATCTGGGGCCGGCTCCAATTCGTGGAGTCGCATGGTGAGTGGACAATTAGTGTTCGAAAGCATGTGATCTGGTCCAATGGCCGCACGTTTGCCTGGATTCGTAAAGACACAACCCTGCAGCGCCCCTGTATGAGGGCATTTTGCACGACGAACTCGAATCGACCCTCAATTTCTACAACCTTTCCCCCTCTGAGGTCATATTCGGTGCGGACAATGACCCCAAGCATTTGTCATGCATGGTGCAGGAATGACTTGGAGAACATGAGTACGTAGCGCTGGAGTGGCCTTCTTACTCATCAAACCTAAAACTCTGGGCTTACCTGAAGTGGGAGCTAGCCAAGTATAAAAGGCCCCTCGTTGGAATGTTGGAGTTTTGGGAGCGGATCCAGAAAGAATGGGAGAAGATCCATGCCGAGGTTTGCTCTAACCTCATTGACAGCATGAGGGTGCGGGTGGTGATCAAGACCAAGGGTCGGTGGACTGGGTACTACAAACGCAAATCTGAAGTTTGCTCTCTGAGCTTGGAACTATTTGTCCGGATGTACTCTTTGTATATCTTTTGGGGTATGAGTTAAATCCAATGTACTATTCTGAATTTTGTTACGATTAAGGACGGAGTCTAGGTGAACTTAGGAGCTAGAATTACTCAGAATATAAATCCGAAATTCTGGGCAGAAAAGTCGTCTTCACAAGAAACAACGTCGACAAAAAAAACTAGCCGTTGGAATGTCGCGAAACTCGGATATGTTGTAGCCTTTAACCTTAGCTACCGTTCGCAATTTAAATCACGTCGATTGATGGAGTATTCGCGACGCTATGTCTTTCGATGCACTGGGGGGTAAGCTGTAGGAGGAGAACTTAACTCAATCTCAAAAGTTCAATCAAAGTTCAAGAATCTCACAAGGAATTACAGGAGCAAGAGAACGGTTGGGATAGAAGAGAGGGATGAGAGGGAAAGGTCCCAAGAGAGTCCCCAACCAAGGAAATCCCATAAGCACAAAGATTCCCTCCCTATAGGAACCCCAACTTTGACATTTATCCCTTCCCAACCAATCCAACCAAGTTGGCCACCCTTGCCAACCTAGCTTGGTTGTTCCCAACCAATTTGCAGCTGTTACAGTAGAGTGACGAATTTCCCCAACCCCAAAGGTCCCAACTCCATATAGAGTCACCCTACAACTTCACTTTGTAACCGTCGCAATTGTAACGCAAGCTCATGAACTTTGAATCTTCATAGCTTTCGCGTTCTTGCTCCGATTGAAGCGATTCTTGTTGCGTCGGAAAGATCTTCTCAAGATCTATCATCACAAATACCTGCTCAAACAAAAATAACACATAACACATTCCCAAACTCCAGAACACACCACACACAAATGCTTGCACATTCAAACCACACATGCAAATTGAAAACATGGGATGGGAGGCAGACAGAATGTGATAGCATATGATGACATCACACAACAATCTCCCCCTCTGGCTGCCAACCAGCATCCACCATACCAACATCTCAAGCATGCATACTCAATGCACACTCATCCCAGCAAGCTTCATGCCCTTCCAATGATCCGCCTCCGCCAGACGCTTAGTGAAAATATATGCTGTCTGCTGATGGGTCTTCACTATCTCCAGCCGCACCTCCTTATCAAGAAGTCTCCTCACCCAGTGCCACTTAGGCCTTATGTGTTTTGTCAGCCCATGCAGACAAGCATTCTTGGCCAGCTTCACTGCAGACTCATTATCACAAAAGATCACCGTTGGCTCCTTCTGACCAACTCCCAACTCCTCCAACAAATGCCTCAGCCATACCACTTCCTTGGCCCCATGGTGTAAGGCCATGTACTCAGTCTCACATGAGGACAATCCCACCTCATTCTGCTTCTTGCTGTGCCAGCTCACAGCACCATCTCCCAGCAAACACACATAACCCTCAGTGCTGGTGCCATCTGCTTTCACTGAGTTGAAGCTAGCGTCAGTATGGCAACTCAAGAGCATCTCTCCACTCTTCACATCTGCAGCACCTCTCTGCAACCGCTGCCTCACTCCACTGTACTCCAATCCCACTGATGCCGTAGCACTCACATAGCGGACCAACCTCTTGGCCGCTTCAAGCTGCTCATGACTAGGGCGTGAGACCACACTAGCCAACCGTGATATAGCAAATGCAATGTCAGGCCGTGTATGATTTGCAGCATAGTTTAGCGACCCAACCATCGAATGAAATAGCTTTCTGTCACTCTCACCCACTACCTCCTCATCAGCACATGGCTCCACAGTAAACCCTGAAGGTAGTGGTGTTGCTGGCTTTCCCCCATCTTGCAGCCCATACTTCTCAGCCAGCCCCTCACAGTACTTCCTCTGGTGCAACCTCAGTACACCCTTCTCCACATCTCTCTCCACATGCATCCCCAAATAGTACTTCACCTCACCCATCTTGGAGCACTTGAACTGCATCTCCAGCATCTGCTCTGCGCTGTCCAGCAAAGCAGTTGATGCAAAGAAGAGAAGGATATCATCCACATATACCAAGAGCATGAGGATTTCATCCTTCTCCTGCAGCAGGAATAGGCTGGGATCACACTCACTCTTCTTGAAACCCCCAGCTAACAGCGCCTCCTCCAACTTGTGATACCATGCACGAGGCGCCTGCTTAAGGCCATAGATGGCCTTCTTCAGCCTGCAGACCCTGCCGCTCCCATCATCCAGCCCCTCTGGCTGCTTCATGTACACCTCCTCCAGAATGATCCCATTCAGAAAGGCAGTCACAATGTCCATCTACCGTATCTTCCATCCCAGGAGTGCAGCTATCGCCAACACCACCCTCAGTGTTGTTCCTTTCCCCACAAGAGCAAACACCTCATCATAGTCCTTCCCCTTTGTCTGCTGAAACCCCCGTGCCACAAGCCTAGACTTGTAGCCGGTCAGCTCCCCTTCAGGTCCATACTTGTGCCTGTAGATCATCTTGGAAGTGATTGCCTTCTTCTCAGGAGGCAAGTCACACAGGTCCCATGTCTCGTTCTCAATCAGGGACCCGAACTCCTCATCCTCACTCGCCTTCCACTTCTCCCCATTTGGTCCATTCAAGGCCTCCTCTCGAGTCTTGGGCTCAGGGATTGGTGCCTATCAGCATTGAGCGATCTCATCTTCCTCAATCTGCTCAACCACTCTCCCAGCCTGCACCACATTCGGCTTGCCTCTTCCCCCATAGGTCAGCCTCACCGGAGGGCGCACATCCCTCCTTGGTCGCTCAGGCGGGTGTGGTACTCGAGGTGGAGACTCATGCTGCTGCTGCTGCTGCTCCACTTCAGCTGCTCCCCCTTCCTCAGTCACCCTAGACATCTCATCCTCAGACACTGCAACCTCCACCTGTCTTGAAGGCCGCTGCACATCATCTGCCTCCACAATGAGTGGTGTGGATGGAAGCTTCTGTTGCTGCTGCTTCCATTCCTTGTAGTACAGGGACTGAAGAAACTTCACATCCCTTGACACTGTCAGCTTCTGGGTGGTCAAGTCCCATAGCAGCCACCCCTTGTGATCCTTTGCAATCCCCAAGTGCACACCCCATCTTCCAGAAGCCTCCAACTTCCCCCTTTTCTCCTTGGGCACATGAAACACCACCATGCACCCAAATGCCCTCAGCATGTTCACAACTGGAGCACTCCCATACCACTTGACATATGGGATCCACTCCTTATCCCCAACTGTAGCCAGCACCCTGTTCTTCACAAGGGCGACCTGCCTTAGTGCAGACACCCAAAACGGATCAGGCAGCCCTGCACGCCCAAGGAGAGTGCGTGCCCCCTCCTGCAGAGTCCTGTTGAACCTCTCAGCCACGCCATTCTGCTGCGGGTTGTAGGGCACTGTCAGTTGATGTTGGATCCCCTTCCTCTTCAACTCCCCCTCAAAATCAGCTCCAATGAACTCCCCACCATTGTCACTACGGATCACCTTCACGTTGTGTCCGCATTCCCTCTGAGCTCTAGGCATCCACTCCTTAAGGACAGCCGTTGCCACCTCCCCCTTGCTCTTCAAAGGGTAAACCCACACTGCTCGAGTGTGGTCATCCACAATCGTCAGGAAAAAGCGGCTGCCTGAGAGGGAAGGGGCTCTTGTGGGCCCCACCACATCCATGTGCACAAGTGCAAGTGGGGTCTTGGCTGGTCCTGTTGCACTGTTGAAGGGGAACTTGGAGAACTTGGTCTCCAAGCATGTAGGGCAGCTCCCAATCTCCTTCACTCCCCCCTTGACCTCCAATCCTTTCAGGCTCCCATTCTTCACCAACTTCTGCAGCATAGGGAAGTTCACATGACACAGCCTCTCATACCATGTCTCCCAATCGGCCTCACCACTCCTTGATGAAGCCTTAGCCCATGCCGCACTCGCATCCACACCAGCAAGCACCTCACCATGTGTCTGCTGCTGCTGCACTTTCTTGACTGCTTCCAGGACCCCATCAGTTGGTGCAGTTGCATCTCCTCCTGCTGTTGCCTTTGCCGCTGCTGCCGTTGCTGCTGTTGGAGTCTTCCCATTCCAAGGGATGATGGGCAGCTGCCACAGGTTCTTGATGCAGCTGGTCTTCTTTTCCAGACTCCACAGCACCTTCTTCCCAAGCTTAGCACGGCAGCTGGTTGGTCCAAAGGTCACTTCGGCCTTACTCTTTTGCAGTCGCCGCACAGAGAGAAGGTTAGCAGACAAACCTTCAACCAACAGAACATTCCCAAGCCCCACAAGCTCCCCATTAGCTCCCTTAACCTTGGCATTCCCAACACCAATCACGGGGAGCAAAGCACCTGACGCTGCTGCCATATACTTAATCTTCCCAGGGGGTTTTACCTCATCAAGCAAATCTGCCCGTGGGGTCATGTGACTGGTGCAACCTGAATCAATCACCCAGTGCGTGAGAGGGTGCATCCCAACCTTTCCCACAGATCCCACAGCACCCTCATGCCCATGCACATCCTCAACCATAAGAAACAAACCAGGATAGGCATTACCTTGTGCACCTTCACCTTGTGCACCTGAGCCTTGCACAGCGCCACCTTGTGCGCGTTCACCACTGGGCGGCTTCATGCCTGGAGGTGCCCATCCCTCCGGCCTGCTGAAGCACTTGAACCAAGGATGCCCGACCTTCTTGCAGTACCAGCAGGTGCCCTCCATTCTGGTACTCCCCCTGCCACTAGAGCTCCCATGCCCCTCATTATAGTCACCTCGGCCTCTACCTCTGCCAAAGCTCCTCCCACGGCCTCGGCCTCTCCAACCCCCTCTTCCTCTGCCGCGCCCTGCAGCTCCATACCCCTTAGCAGTCTTAGTGGCAGCACCGCCTCCCATATGGCGTCTGCGGAAGTCCTCCTGCAGAATCTGCTGCCTTAGCCACTCAGGTGTCCATTGATCTTGCTGAGAGTTGAGGGTGGGGATGAGGTTGTCCCAAGAGTTGTCCAACACCGAGATGATCTTGGTGCACTGCTGCAGCTGAGATACACTGCTGCCCGCTGCTGCCATCCTTGCATACATGTCCTTGATCTTGTCAAGGACCGGCTTCACATCGTCCCCTGGTCGCATGGAGATGGCAGCAAGTTCCTTCTTGAGCACGATCACCATCGGGAGAGTGTTGGGCTGAATCACATCGCGTAGTAGTTTCCACGCCCTTGGACCTGAATCATCCGCTTCCACAAGATCCTTGATGTGCTCGAACATCTCCTTGTTGACCGATAGAAGGATGAGGTCGAAAAGCACCGCGCTTTTCTCAATCCACCGTTTACGTGCTTTGCCTTCCTCCTGCATCTTCTCCTCCCCAACAGCAATCTTCAGTAGCTTGTAGCGTTTGAAGGCACTCCTCATCCGCCCACTCCATTCCTCATAGTTGGAGCCATCCAAAGCTTCAACTTTGGATGGTGGCAGCTCACTTGTCTTTTCAGGTACAGCTCCTCTTCCATTAGCATCTCCTCCTCTCTCATTCATCTTCTCCTTGAGAAATGACGAATTTCAGCTCCCCTTTGCTGTCCACACTCAGCTCCCTCAACATTTTCACAAGTGTCGGCGTCCACGAAATTTCGGCAGAGTTTCCCCTTAGTGGAAGACACATCCAACCTTTAGAACACCACTTAGGCACACCCACAGGCCATGGTGGGTCTAGAAGGGTCTTCAAAATTCTGTAGACTCCTCTCAATGTCCTTAATATCACTCTGATACCACTTGTTAGGATTAAGGACGGAGTCTAGGTGAACTTAGGAGCTAGAATTACTCAAAATATAAATCCGAAATTCTGGACAGAAAAGTCGTCTTCACAAGAAACGACGTCGACAAAAAAAACTAGCCGTTGGAATGTCGCGAAACTCGGATATGTTGTAGCCTTTAACCGTAGCTACCGTTCTCAATTTGAATCACGTCGATTGATGGAGTATTCACGACGCTATGTCTTTCGATGCACTGGGGGGTAAGCTGTAGGAGGAGAACTTAACTCAATCTCAAAAGTTCAATCAAAGTTCAAGAATCTCACAAGGAATTAGAGGAGCAAGAGAAAGGTTGGGATAGAAGAGAGGGATGAGAGGGAAAGGTCCCAAGAGAGTCCCCAACCAAGGAAACCCCATAAGCACAAAGATTCCCTCCCTATAGGAACCCCAACTTTGACATTTATCCCTTCCCAACCAATCCAACCAAGTTGGCCACCCTTGCCAACCTAGCTTGGTTGTTCCCAACCAATTTGCAGCTGTTACAGTAGAGTGACGAATTTCCCCAACCCCAAAGGTCCCAACTCCATATAGAGTCACCCTACAACTTCACTTTGTAACCGTCGCAATTGTAACGCAAGCTCATGAACTTTGAATCTTCATAGCTTTCGCGTTCTTGCTCCGATTGAAGCGATTCTTGTTGCGTCGGAAAGATCTTCTCAAGATCTATCATCACAAATACCTGCTCAAACAAAAATAACACATAACACATTCCCAAACTCCAGAACACACCACACACAAATGCTTGCACATTCAAACCACACATGCAAATTGAAAACATGGGATGGGAGGCAGACAGAATGTGATAGCATATGATGACATCACACAACAAATTTTTGTGCTGTGAACACATCCACTTTGTGCCCCTCCCAAATCGTACCAACATTAAACATTAACGGTCAATGTATAGTGGTCTTAAAGCCTAAAAAACCTAATTGATGCGAAACATACGGACTATTGTTTCCGTCAATGTAACCTGTGCGCAATCCTCGAAAGCCTAATGCATCATATGCAGACATTCCAATACGTAGCCCAACGGAGGTACCCGATGAATGGCAATGTGTGCAAGGCTTGCCGCAAGGCATTCAAAGACAAAAATGCACTCCAAGGTCATCTGTCAAATTGGCGTATGTCGCCATCGGCCCCGCTAGCGTCGAAACCATGACTACGCTAGAATGCGTTGGAGGCTACGCCATTCCAGTCAATGGCCCCGCGGAGTCCCAGGTGAAACCAGACGTCGACGACAGAAGCAGTGATGATGATCCCAAGTTTGACACGCTTACGGAGTTTATCTCTTCTTCAAAGACTGCAATCCCTGCAAACATGTGAATTGCATACTACACATCTTCAGGAACCCGCACTTCAGTGCCTGGATACATGGAGATGGTGAAGCAGCTTGGATATAAAGAGATGGTGCGTTGCTCAGGCCCCGCCCGACATAGTGCCGTGGCTCACAAGTGGCTGCCATGATTCCAGCATGCAGATGTGCGTGTTCATCAGAATGTAGACCTAGGTGAACCGCGAGCAGGGTTGATACGCATAACTGCAATATAACACCGTTGTAATCTTTGTAGCATGCAACTGTCGGCAGAGAGTTGATGGACGCTCCTCGCGCTCTCGAGCAAGCTAACGGAGAAAGGCGCTCGTACCGAACTACCATTTCTGGATCTTCTCATGCCCTCATTTGCGGATGAACTTCCATACTTTTCCATTTTTGAGCAAGAATGTCCTTACCGAAATAGTGCGCGGAAGTGTGCGGAATCGGTGGCTAACAAGCCATAAGTCAAACGAGCTTCATGGATAGGCAATAGGCGATGATGCGAGCCTAGAGGAGCTTAACGGCCTAAGGGCGACCGGGACCAAAATCAATTGGATCGAAAATGTAAGGTAATGTGCTCTATTTTTGTTGAATTGCGTTTTAGTGAAGTATATTTTGTTTGTGCGTGTTTTTAACAAATATCTTGATCTTTCTATATTGGAATTTACGTCAGATTGAGAGACTCAGTGGTCAGGCACATGCACGCTAGGGTTCCCACATTTATCTTGTACCCTCTATATTATGCACCTAGTTAGCCTACAGTACATGTAAAATGTGTACGCTAACACACCCCCTAGGCTACAGTAGGTAGGGGCAGAGTCTAGTAGCAAAACAAGCACAGCAAACCAGGGCAGCACTACTTGTCTGGCCATTGAGACAAGGGCCAAAAGGTCGGTCAGCAAGTGTGACAAGACAACAGGTATATTTCAGCATATACAAAACCGGTATCGTACAGCTCAGGATACAAGCAAGTGCGAAGCAACTAGGACTAGGCCTAGTTGAGTACAAAACCGCTGATGATCACGAGGCCCAAGGGCCTTGGTGAAGATATCAGTAGTGTTGGCCTCTGAGGCCACCTGTACTACGCGGGCTTGGTCATGCTGTTGCAACTCACGCAGCAGGAGCTACCGCAACTGGATGTGCTTGGCCTTGCCCTCAAGTCGAGCCTCATGGCCCTGTTATCAGCAAACAGGACCGGGGCAGACCTAGGCCGCTCACTTAAGTCAATGAGCAGGAACGTCAGCGAGCAGATCTCCTGAGCGGCCATAGCACCAGCACAGATCTCTGCCTCACAACTGGACTGTGCTACAGACGACGACTAAGTGGACAGCCACGAGACAGCACATGCACCAAGGCTGAAGCAGTAGCCCTGTGATGACCAGAGTGTCTCCAGGTCGTCAGCCCAAGACGCGTCAGTATGTCCAGTAAGGACCACTGGCACCCGTCCTCCCGGCACAAGCCCTAGACCTGATGTACTCGCCAGATACCACAATACCCTCTTGGCAGCCGACCAAAGCTCTGGTCCGTGTGTGCCAATCGCAACAAAGTGAGCAAGGATACTAAGAGGGTACACTAGTTGTGGACGAGTGCTCGTCATCAGGTACATGAGGGAACTTACCAGCTCTGCGTAGGGACCACTGAGCTCAACTTGCTCACTGGAAACAGGAGGTGAGATCTTGTGCTCCACATGCAAGGGAGGAACCACTCTCGCTGGCTGAAGCCTCTGGCCACATACCGCGCCTTGAATTGCGGCGGCTCTCCAGGTGGGTGCTTCACCTTACAGATCCACATGGCATTGACTAAGTTCGCTCCAAGTGGAGGAACTGCGTCGATGTAAGTGCTTGTGAACTTATAAGATGCCATCTCTACCTCCATGGCCTATATCCACTCATCTACCTAGGGTCCTGAGACAGCCTCAGCATACGAGCGCGGGGTAGGGATGTCCAGGGCGTCCATGTCACCCTCTTGGGACACTAGCATAGCGCAGAGATGAGGTACAATAGCTGCAAAGAAAGCCAACTCGTATTGCCTATCCCCTAGAACATTACTGCCAAGGGCAGGTGCAACCCCGACGGACAGAGGATTGGCAGGGTCAAAGACTAGACCCGAGGTGTAGTCAAGGCGGTGGCGTGTAGCAAAGTCAGCGACCGCAACGAAAAGGGCAGAGACACCAGCAAGAGGAGTCGTAGGGTCCATAATAAGAGAGGCAAGCAAGCAAGAGACCACTGGATGAGTATTGCGAGCAGAATCAGAGGGAGGATCAGAGGACAGGGGTAGGGACGACTGGGGAGGTAACGATAGGACGGGGACTAGAGGAGCATGAGAATGAGAAAACCATAGGTTGGACACGAGCACGAGGAGAGACAAGACGACCACCAAGGGAGCGACGCACCCAGGGGTGGGCAACAGCGGACAATACAGGGGACGGAGAAGAACAAGGGGGGAAACAAACCAGAAGCGAGTCCGGGGGAGGGGACAGTGGGCCGTAGATGGGAGAAGGTGGGAGGGGAGGCGCTGTGGGAGTAGGGGGCTGGTGGTCAAGGGAACCAGAGGAATGGCCAAGGAGACGAAGGACAGACTGCGGCTGCTGCTGCTGTTGCTGCTGCTTGCGGCCCATGCCAGAACCCCCAGCCCCACCACTAAGTCAGCACCTCCAGGACTAGCATCCCCTGGATTAGCACCCCCAGAACCAGCACCCCCAAAGTCAGCATCCTAGAGCCAGCACCCCCAGAACCACCACCACCAGGGCTCACAGTCCCCCGTCATTGCTGCTGCTGCTGAGACTACTGCGGCGGCTACTACTATTGCGGCGACAGCGGGGGAGACTGCTGAGGTGTCTGGGGCACCAGGGCTGGGGGGAGGGGCACCGCAAATGCGGCAGGTGCACCCCCAGCCACGGGGCTCTCAGAGTCAGCAAACCCCCCCATAGGCCCAACCGAGGGGACGGGAGTGGCGTGGAAGACACCAGATAGGCCTGGGTGGGGTGGGAGGAGAGCAGTGGGCAGAGGAGGGGCGAAGAAGAGGGGGGGGAGACACAAAATTGCCACGGTGAGGAAACTGAGCATAGAAGGAGTCAAACGTACTGTCACGGGAGTGAAAGGAGCAGTGCTGTACCGGTTGGTAGAACAGCCAGTCAGGAGCGTCAAGTGGGAACCCAAGGAAGACATTAGGGGAGGGTGTGGGGCAAGAGCTTGTCCGCGCTGGTGTCACGAACGTGAGCCAGGCAGCCCCAAACATGGAACACAGACGCGTCACCAAGGGACCCAGTCCAGAGAAGGGTCGACGAAACATGTGGCCCCAAGAAAATGGGGAGCACCGGCATGGACCATGGGAGTGCGGGCCACCTCCATGACCAGGCCGATGCATCGCTCAGCGACCCAATTCTGTTGCGGCGAGTCTGGTAGGGTGAACGTTTGGGTGATGCCCTCCGCACGGCAGAACGCTCTAAGATGGCTGGAGGCGAACTCACCACCATGGTCGGAGTGAAGGGGGAGCATGGACAGGGAGCGATGCGTGCGAACGACGCGGAGCCATGGGAGGAGGGCGCCAGGTATGTCAGCCTTTTGCTCCAATAGGAACACCATGGTAAATTGTGAGAAGTCATTGATGACAACCAAGAAGTAGCGCTCTCTGTGAGGCCCAGGTACCAGGGCAGTGCCCCAGACATCCACGTGTAGGGTCTGGAGCGGAGTAGTGGTCGGAAGAAACGAGGAGTGAGGGGCGACACGCAGCCGAACCTCAATGCAGGAGGTGCACGCGGGGGCTACCGAGGCGGGGAGGGTGGGGAGCAACGCGGGGAGACCAGTGACTAGACCTTGCTATACCATATGATGGAGATGCGGGAAAGCAGGATGACCTAAGCGATGGTGCCACAGGAGTGCTGGGCGGGTGTGGGAGCAGGACGCGACAACCTGGGGACACGGCTACCTGGGGGGACTTCGTATGCAGTGTGAAGAGACCCGACACTAGGTAGCGGTCAAAGGTGGCGAGACGGGGGCCTGTGGCTGCGTCCGTACAGGCTGCATACCTCGCGTGGCCAGGGAACGTGGTGGTGACATCGAGGTTCTGAATGTGACGAACACCAACCAAGTTCATGGCAAGCGTAGGGATATGCAAGCCGGTAAGGAAGCTTGATGGGACAGCCATATAGGGGAGGGCCGTGGTGATGAGGGTGACGACTATGGTAGGCGAGTTTCAGAGGGAGAACTGTATCGATGAAGGAAGCGGTGTGAGAGAAGTGCAATCTCGGAAGAAGCATTGTGACGCCCAAGAGTCCAGTGTTAAGGAGAGGGCCGCCACAGCAATGGCCGGTCAGGAGCTAAGACTACACACAGCAGAGGATAACAGACTATGCATAGCAGAGGATCCTAGACTACTCATAGTAGGATAATAAGAATACAAAGAAAACATGTCAGAGCCTATTTGAGCCATCACCAAATCTAGCGGATCAGGGCA